GAATACCCGGGTCTATGATTGGAGTCCAATGGAGATTGTATTTGCGTTGAGTCTCATCAATAAATTGAGGCAAATCTTTGAAGTTAACAGGGTCAATTGTGAAATCACGCCCTCTTTCCTCTTTGTAATCGCTATCAATATATTGGACGTCCTTTTTATATATCATCAGAAAAAGTACTGTATTTACAAATTAGGATGAATTACAATCTGGTCTCACATATGGGATCTGGTGTTTGATCTGTCGCTCGACAGTAGCCTTCACTTCATTTAAGTCCTTATAATTCCATTTCGATAACTGAAAGCCAAACGCCCAAAACGAGGGCATAAATGTGCGCCCAATGAGTGAAGTGTATAACTGTATGACATGTTCGGGATTATCGCCGATAAACACAAAGAAATCCAATATTCCTCCGATTGTCTTCACAGACATCGCCGGCGCCGGCATTAGTGTGTATTCTGACGGATATTATTAGAAAATATATTTAAAATTAATTCAATCTAAATTTACGACGATATGAATACCCATAGCATTGCTGTTAAGTAATAGAATTCCGTGAGAATTGCCATTACTTTCAAGTACTGTATAGAAGGGGTGCTGACCGTAATTATTCTTTTCGTCATTCTATACATATATTTGTATATAAATGTTAACCAAATTGTTGAATAAAAAATGTGATCATTCATACAGTTTCGGGTGCATTATCTTTGGTAAATATGGGCCAAGTCTTGTAATTTAAGTCATGTCTGAGAGACGGGTGAGTATTCTCTCCCAAACCGTACACATTATTTGACGGCAAATAACTTGATATTTGAATGAATTGATTGCTAAATATCAGACCTCCTATTGATGTGTCGAATCTGTTATTATGTAATAAATACTTTTAAAAATATGATTTAATAGTAATTTTAAACATACATTTTAGTAGAAGTACTTTTCCTTTCGATATTAAACTCGAAATCAGTTTTATTTAAATTAAATCTATATTTCCTGAGGTTTTCGTCAATTTTCTTCAATGGTTTTTGTAATAACGGGAAGTTTGACTGAAAGGGCACTTCATATCTCGCATTCATTGCGTCCGAAATCTTGAATCTCAATATATTTTCCGTATAATAAGTGACCG